TAAAGATTATTTTTATCATAGGGACTGAGGCTGGGTCAGCGTGAAATCCAACCACCTCAGATTTTAGTGTGGCTTGGCACGCCACCATTATCAAAAGCAGTTACAGGGAAACAGAATTGTTTCAGAAAGTGATTCCGAGCTTCCAGCGGACTTGGGTGTTTCCCAGAGATGGTAAACTCTGAAATTGCTGTGCACTCATCATTTTTTATTGCAAAATTCATTAAGCTACAAGGCTATTATCATTCTGTCTTGTCAAGATGATGCATTGCAGACTTCATTGCAAAACTTTAACAAGCCAGGAGAAAGTACACCTCTCTCCCCACCACAGCACAGGAAAGCCGCTGGGTATTTTGCTTTTGCCTGAATATATTTTGCATGAAGCCCTGGGTCTCTACAGAACTTCCATCTTTCTGGCAACTCCCTTTCTCCCTGTTTGATCATGTGGAGAGAGAGTTCCCCCCTTTGGGCTCTGCAAGGCATCATGAGCTGCTGTTAAAGAGCAGTCAGCTTCCCTCCTTTTGACAGCTGGTCTCGGACATCACGGAAAGATGAGCTACTAGCCTGTATTCTGACAGACGCCCATGCATGGTGGGAAATGTCCCACAAAGTGATGACGAAGATCTGCGTTTTGTATTTATTCCTCAGCTCTGTGTACTCAGTGGCCAGACGTGTTCAGGCCTGCCGAGACGTGTGAATTTGGCTTGGCTCTGCGTGTGCGTTCCTGGCCTTGCCGCTGGGTTCTGTGGTAAGCAGAGACCCTGCCTCCTGTGTGTGGTGGGGTTGTCATTTAGAGTGAGCAGGAGTCACTTGGTAAATATGGAAAGTGAAGTAGCTTAGCTCCCATATTTCCATGGCAACCCCCAGAACAAGTACAATATCACCAAAATTGCTCTGTGGCTTTCTTTTTTTAGTTGCAGTGATTTGGTTGCATGCTCATGTTTTTCCGCTCCTGATTTGTACAAAAAACACTGCCCACTGTAACCAGGACTTTGTTTTCAAGGTCATTAGCGGGCCCTGTCTGAAGCACCTGAGAAATTCAGTCACACAAAGCTGCCTTTTTCTGCACTAGAACACATTTTGATTGTTGATTTTTGCTTTATGTTTATTATTTAGCTTATACTTACTTACTTGAGGCGCTTCAGCAGATACTATGTGTGGACCAGACAGGAACGGATGAGCTGGAGCTCACCTCACAGGTCACTGACCTCACAGGTCACTGTAACAGATGCCTGATGTATTCTGCTTGGGCGGAGGTGCCCCAGCCCTTGAGTAGTTTGTATTTTTAAGGGCCAGCTCCACATCCAGTTTGTCACTCCTCGTAATGTGTTCATGAAGACATCCAGTGCATTACCCATACATGTTTACAGTTGTTTGAAGACTGGTGTCATCATTTCCTCGTTTCTGGGCCCTCGTACATAGCGACTAACATGAAGAGAGATTCTTGTTGACAAACACATTTGAGGAAGGCAAGCGTTTTCACTGACTTCCACCCGTTTAGCAAAGCTCCCGAGCTGTGGGCATTCTTTCCCTTTTGGTCATTTAAATGGTTCTCTGTGATCTTGTTGATTTGACTCATAGCTGGTTGTTTTTCTTTTTTCAGTCCAGTAGTCTATAATTTTTTCTTCACCAGTGTAATTGCCATTGCTCCGTCTTATACCTTCTTAGGAGGATGCAGAGCTGGTTTGAATCATTAGTGGCTCAAAGAAGTCCACCTTTCTCATAGTTGAATGATCTGGCTTATTTTATTTTTATTTTTGTTTTTTAAAAAGTCTTTTAGGCTGCCTAGTCTCATTATGTTTTTCTGTCAGGAGCAAGGATTCCTTTGCCCACCTGACAAAAATCCTCCTGTTCTGAGTGACATTACTGAATCATTTTCTCTTTAGTCCTTAATTCATTCCAAGTGCATTAGAATTGGTCTCTGTAGAGTTTGCCATAACTGCTAAAACATTTGATTTGCTGTTGATTTTACTCTCCTCACCTTTCTGTGCACGCTCAGTAAGGAATGTGAGCGTTTCAGTTTAGCAGTATCCAGCTAGAAGTTCTCAGCCTCATTACATCCGCTGACACTGTGATGGCCTGGCATCCGGAGAGTGCCCAACTTACAGTTTTCCTTCTCACGTGGCCCACCCAGGGACACCAGTAGACAAGGTGCCTTTCGGGATGCACATTTGGCAGTGTTGGCTGCAAAACTGTGAAATCTTATGGTTAATTATTTTTTGTTTTCTTCTTAGACAATGAACTCCTTTCCCTGACCTTTTCTTTAGTTGTTTTGTTAGAGGTTATGAAAGTTTCTAGATATTTAAAATATATGTCAAAATAGAACCTCAGAAAGCATTTATTTCTTAAAAAAAGAAATTCAGTGTCCTCCAGTAAATGGAATACCAGAAATCCTCAAGCTCGGTTTGGGTGTAGCCACCGGTTTTATTCTATTGACTTTTCTAGTCCAGGGAAGGCCAAGTTCTCATTTCCCACCCCATCCTCGCTCCCTAATGGGTTTACTTCAGACAAATGCCATGTTCCATATGCTGCGGCCTCCCTCATTAGATCATGAAGAACCCCAGTCTATAAAACTGTAATAGTAGATGTGTTCTTAAAATCTTTACCTAAGTTTAGTTTTTAGGATTAAATCTTTTTATGAACATAGGGATTCTGATAAAATATTTTATTAAGCAAAGCATCTCTATATGTTTTTTCCAGTTGTGATTTCCAAGTTTTATTTGTCAAATATCCAATCTTAGGTTACTCATGGTCTACCAAAGAAGGTAAACATATGAGTAAGTACATGCAAGTTAATAAATACACTAGTATGCATCTGAATAAAATACCAGGGAATTAATTTAAGGGCCTGCTAACTGGATACTGTGTTTGCTACTCAGTGGGTGCTCAGTAAACATTCATTGAATAAATGAACATCAAAGAAGGTTTCATTTTAGATATTCTTTTCCTAATTGATAGTAAGGTAGAAAAAGTCCCAATAATATTTTAGAAAAACTAATATACTTTTAGCAAGATACTGTTTTTAATTTATAGAATTATAACCTCATGGGAAAGTAAATAAAATTACAAGAGAAATATGAGCTACAGTTATACTCTTCTATTTCCTATGAATTCAGAGAATTATGCCATCCAAACTTGGCCTCAAATTAGAATTAATAAAACTATTAATCTCTCCTCCCATATAAAACAGAAAATGTCTCCATTGAACCCCAAAGAAGTGTCATCTTTATTACCCTTTTTTATATGGTGGTCTTAGGCTCCTCACAGTCTTGCAGGAATCTTGATATGAGTATTTTGTGCAAAGGAAAATTTTTCTTATACTGATTCACACTGATAAGAGGCATATCCATTCCCTAATTATGTAATTTTAGGGTTGTTTTTCTTCCCAGTAGCAAGTTTCCATTTGCAGGCCGTATTAGTCTGCCTGCATCTTGGCTCAATGCAACTCTTTTGGTTTCTCTTTCTTTGTTGTTGTTTCTGTTTTGAATTCAAGCTTTTAAAATATAAATAGTTCTAAATCTCTGGAATCAACTTAATAATCTACTTTTTCAAAATCTACTTAGAGTACAGGAATCTCCCAGCAGCCTCATGGAGTTTTTTAACTCTTCTATAGGGCTTTAAACGTGACTTTGAGAATTTGCCAAGCTATTAGGGATCATTGGTGTGTATGTGTGTATAATGTGAATATTAATCTACCATCATTTCATAAGCATAATATATTTTTACAGACATGACTAATGCAGGGGGAAAAGTTGTTTTTTTTCCCATGACATCACCCCCTTTATTGCCTAACGACACCCGAGTTCAAATGTCAACCTCTAAGCTACCATGTCAGTTAGCCTAGTCTGTCTCCTTAGGGATATGGTACTACACCTCAGGCTCATTTCAAAAAGGTCCCATGAAAATTAACCTGGATATATTTCTTGATAAGTGAACTGATTGCTCAAAACATCAATTGATTTCAGGATAGTGTATGTTGGTTATGTGGGACAAGAATGGCATTCTAAATCTCCAGTGTTTTGTTACAACAGTGGTGCCTATGTCATTTAACTAAATCATACCAAAAATGTTTTCTTCAGGCATTGGTTCCAAGTTTTTAAAGATGGGAAGAAACAGGAAGTTATTTTCTTTGAACAATGTTCTGTTTACAAAATGCATTCTTGCATATGATCCCACTTGATCCTCAGGATGGCTCACTCTCCACATTTTATAGATGCATTAGCCAAGAAACAGAGTGAGGGAAAATTGCCTGAGGCCATACTACCAGTCAGGGGTGGAGCCTTGAGGACAATTCCGAATTTCTCCCTCCTGGTCTGGTAATATTCTCTAAGCTTTAATATGACTGCTTGGACTGTGGACTCAATTTTTTAATATGCAAACTACTCTGTAGCCCTTACACATCTATTTATCAAAAACTAATTTGGAGCTAAACATCAATTACATAAAACTGAAGCAACCCAGAGGGTATGTCCAGGGAGCATCAGGAATATAGACCATGGGGTCATAAGGAAGTAAATGGCCAAATGGTCAATTTTGATGGTGACAGTGCTATAGAATCAGAGGTAGGATGTGGCCTGGGCAACCTAGGCGATATTGGGGGGGTGCAAGAGTGTTTGAATAAAAGGTGAATGTCACAGAAACTAAGAGGATCTGGTTGAATGCAAGGGTGCTCTGTGTTCTGACCATCTGCTAGTCAGAAGAAGGCACAGTTTATGGTGGAGTAGTAGGGCCACTCTTAAGAAAAAGGCTGGTCAGATGAAAGGGGAGGAGGTATGTCCTGTCAAGCTAAGGAAGGAGTTTTGCTCTCAAATGTCAAGTCACTTATTTGCCTTTGACCTCCTTTCCCACTTGTAATTCTTACCCTTTCCTATGCCCTATTTCAGCTTCACTGGTCCCAGACTTCTCAATGCAATCTCAGTATTTGTAAATTTTTGTATATGTGGGCACAGACTATCCCTATGGAATAATATTAATACGGGGCTTGTCACCTTTTTTCTCCACAGAGGAACAAAGAAACAGCATCATTAACTCCAGTTTGGAATCTGTCGTCTCATCAAATGCAAACAGCATCCTTAATTCTAGCAGCAGCTTACAACCCAACATGAACTCCAGTGACCCAGACCTGGATGTACTCAAACCCGCCCGCCCCAGCTCACTGTGAGTAGGATGTTCACCTGCCTGCCGCAACAGGCTCGTGGTCAGCCATTCTGCCCAGACTTTGCTCTCAGCCCAATCTGACTGAGCATTGTCCTATAAAATGATTTAAATTCCTTTAAACTTGTAGCTTGGCTAGTTTGTTATGGGTTAATCATTAATTGTAACATACTGCTTCTTGGCCTTGGTAATCTATGATTTACCATCCTGCTGCAATGGCTTTGGTGATGGCTATTGCCTGTGCTGGCTGCTGGGCATGAAAAGCAATTTCTTTTGGTTTTATGAACATCCAGACACTGCAGTAGCTCAGTAGATCATTAACCAAGTCTGTTTCTTTCATTCATGCTGTCTCCCTTTCCCTTTTCCCTGACTATGTTGAGAATGTTCAGTTTAGAAAAAAGGGCCCCCCAGTAGCCCTTTGAGACTTCAGATCCTCCAACCTTGGCATGACTGTGATCACATACCAGAGACTATGAAAGAGAAGCACCGCTGCTTCATTTTTGTATCGAGCTCCCATAGTCAAGACGGGCAGTTTTGGGGCTGCTTGTCCAAACCTCCACGGAAATTAGATCTGCTCTGTTAGGGCCAGAAAGTCCTCCCTTGTGGTTTCATCCCACATTGCTTAGCATGTTTCTTCAGACCACCCCATAAATCGTGTCAACTGGAGCCTTTGCAGAAAGAATGTGAGGCGGTGACCAGAACAGCTGGACTCGGAGGCTGCAGTTGTATAAGACCCAGGAAAAGCAATGTTAACTTTGCCTTTCTCTAGTGAAAATAGTTTGCGGTTCAGCCACAGATGGCTTTCAGGGCAATCGTTTCCCTTGGTGAGGTACCAGGAGAGCAGAGCGTTTTCCTGCTCCCTCTATGTTGTGGTTGTGCAAACAAACGGGCCTTGGCGTTCTGTCTTTTTAGGATATTTACAAATGTGCACAATGGGTCCAACAATTTTTGTCTTAGAAGAGACTATAGGATATTAAGGTTTGGGAGGAAAAATGACTCTAAATAGACTTATGAGGTAATTTTACAGAATGAACAATAACAGCGTACGATAACATGCATTGAAAAAGTCAGTCACATTTTAGTTGTTGGCTTTAAATCTACCTCTTGATATTCAGGAAGTGAAATAACTTTCCTGTTGTTTGATAATGTGCTTGTTCACGAAGAAGTGGACCAGTGCCTTAAGAGTTCAAAATAACTTGTTCAGGTTGTGGGCAGTGTGTTTCTCTGGTTCCCCAGGGCTGGACTTGCCCATATGTCATATGGCTTTCTCAGGTGGTCCTGGACATTAAGGAGGTTCTAGTTTCTTTTTTCCCCTCCCATTTGGTTTACTCTCTGTACCTACCAGTTGCTGAAGTTATTTGTTGCTCAGCATGAGCAAAGTTGAATTTCTAGCCCAGGTTGTTTAACATCTTCTTATTCTAGCTGCAGTACCAACTAGTGGTCTTTCAGCTTTGTTTTCAGCAGCTGAGTCCTGCTGAATACAGTGGGTCCAAAGAGGCTACTTCTGTAGCCAAGTAGAAAGGGGGGTATGTCTTTTAGACAGGTCCTGGAAAGGGGGGCTTGGGCTTTTATTTTTCAGTTGTCTACTGATTTGTTTTATATGAAACACTGGGGGGTGACTCAATCTGGTTCACACCATCCAGGGGCCTGTTCCCTGCATGCTGCAGATTTGGGGTGGGGGGGCCTTTCCCAGGGAAGGGGGGGTGATTCCAGGAAGAGTTCTACCTGTTTCCCTTGAGAGGAGGGTTAGAGGTAGGTGTTTGGTGTGTTTCCAACAGGACTGTGGTCCTTCCAAGCTGAGTGACAATCTGACTGACGCCTGTGAGTCTTTAGCTCTAGGAAGGCTGCTCTTGAGGTGGAAGAAGTGCTGGTTCCAGCGCCCACACTGGAGGTAGCCTTGCCCCAAATGAGAGCCAGCCAAGGCCCTGCAGGCTCTGCAGTGGCCTCATTGGCCATTTCTGATACCCAAGGCAGTGACATGTTACTCTCCAGTTTGCGCCTCCCCATTTTTTCCTGCTGGGATTTCCCTGAGTGGGCCATGGACACAAGCTTGGGTAGTCCTGGCTTACAGAAGTCACAGTATGTCCCCTGAGAAAATTGATTCTGTGACGTCTGCCAGCACACACTGTGCTGTGGTGATGGCACTCAGTTGCCGCCAGCAGTCCGGCGGGGCTCAGCCTCCCTTCTGGACCCTTTCATTCCCTCCGGTGTGTTCACTTGGAAGTGCACAGAGAGCCTTGATTGGGAACACTTAATATGCAGATGAAAACAAAAAGCAAAATCAGGGGGTGGGGGCCTACCATTATCTGGACTGTTAATTGGCATAAGGTGAGGAACTAGTCACCAGAAAACTCTAAGTCCTTCTTTTCATTTTATTTATTTGCTTTTCATTATTTTCATGATGACTGGAATGATCACTATCACAGTGCAGCAGTCATAATGAAAGAAGCACAGGGTGACTCAGCATCCTTTGGTTCTTCAGAGACCACATTTTGCTGTCTCATTGGTAAATCTTTGCTAATTCTCCAAGGAGATCGGGGCCCTTTTGTTTGTGTGGGCATAATGCGAAGCCAGGCATCAAAATTAGAGATGCCACCATTCTAACCACACCAGGGCAAGGCTGTAGGGTTTATATCTTTGGCAGGTGCTCAGCTAGACCTCCTGAAGATCAAAGGATATTTGGTAAGCCAGGACCAAAGTCCAGCTAGTCTAAAATTGTCAGCAAGTATTGCTTACCTATTTTGTGCCGAGGCCTATGCTAAGCTACCTTGGGTAAATGAGGAAATAAAGAGGATTCCTGACCTCCCAAGAGTTTACAGTTTGTCTAAGGAGGAAAGTCAGTGGTCTATGGCAGTGTTAATTGGGACTTATAGCTCATAAGTGTGTTTAGAATTCAACAACTATTAACTGAATATCTGCTGAGTACACGCACCAGTCAGAGTATTGGGAAAGGTAGAGTAGACAGAATGTGAGGTAGGCATTAGGTAAGATTATATGGGTGGATGAAAAGCATTCCAGGTAAGGGGGATGAGAGAGGCAGAGATGATCCAAAATGGAGAAGGTAGTCTATAGACATGTATTGAGGGAGGGGGAATTTAGTTCCTCCCCTACCACTACCAATATATAAATATATGTCTCCAACCTTTAAAGTCAGGACACTTCTCACAAAAATCCAGATTTTGTACTGGACAACTAGACATTCACATGCAAAAAAATGAATCTATAGACACAGACCTTACACCTCTCATAAAAATTAACTCAAAATGGATCATAGACCTAACTGTAAAACTATAACATTTCTAGAAGACAGCATAGGAAGAAATCTAGGTCACTTTGGGTTTGGCAATGACTATTTAGATACACCACCAAAAGCATACTACATGAAAGAAAAAAATTGGTCAGCTGGACTTCATGTAGGTTAAAAACTTCTGTTCTGCAAAAGACACTATTAAGGTGCAAAGCCAAGCCACAGACTAGGGAAAAATATTTTGCAAAAAAAGAAACAGAACAAAATAGAAACAGAGGCATGGATACATGGAACAGACTGACAGCTGTCAAGGGAGGGAGGTTGGGGCCTGGATGAAAGAAGGTGAAGGGATTAAGCAAAAAAAGAAAAAAACTCACCACATGTATATATAACACAGAACAGAAAACAATGTGGTGATAGCCAGAGGGGAAAGGGGGTGGGGGAGAGGTGGAGGTGGGCAAATGGAGGGGGAAATGGGGATGGAAAGAGACTTTGCTTAGTAATTGGCGCATGATGCAGTGTGCAGATTATATTTTGTTGAGTTATACACTTGAAACATGTATGATTTTGTGAACCAATGTCACTCCAATAAATTTAATTTAAAAATTAATAAAATAAAAAATAAACAGCTCTAAAAAAAACCTAATAAAGAACGAATATCCAAAATATACAAAACACTCTTAAAATTTAACAGTAAGTAAACAAACAACCCAGTTAAAAACCAGGTTAAAGATATAGACAGACACCTCACCAACGAAGACATACAGATACAAGTAAATATATGAAAAGATGCTCAGCATCTTATATCATTAGGGAAATGCAAATTAAAACAGTGAGATATCACTACATACCTATTAGAATAGCTAAACTCCAAAATACTGACATCAAGTGCCAGTGAGGATGTGGAGAAACCAGAACTCTCATGCATTGCTGGTGGAAATGCAAAATGAGACAGCCACTTGGAAAGATAATTTGGCAGTTTCTTACAAAACTAAGCATAGACTTATCACATGACACAATCTAGCAATCACACTCTTAGGTATTTACCCAAATGAATTGAAAACTTATGTCCACATAAAAACCTGCCCACAAATGTTTACAGCAACTTTATTCATAATTGCAAAAACTTGGAAGCAACCAAGATGCCCTTCGGTAGGTGAATAGATAAACAAGCTGTGGTACATCCAGACAATGGAATATTATTTAGTGATTAAATGAGTTATCAAGTCATGAAAAGACATGGATGAACCTTAAATTTATATTACTAAATGAAAGAAGCTGCTCTAAAAAGAGCACAACAGTGTATGATGACAATTATATGACATTCTGGGAAAGGCAAAACTATAGTCAATAAAAAGATTGTGGATAGTAGACACGAAACATTATGCATTTGTCAAAACTCATGAAACCCGTTGAACCCAAAGAGCAAATCCTCATGTTGTAAACTATGATCTTTAGTTAATAATAATGTATCAATGTTGGTTCATCAGTTTTAACAAATGCACCACACTCATGAAAGATGTTAATAATAAGACAAACTTAGGCAGTGGATAGAGGTATATGGAAATTCTGTTATTTCTGCCTATAGGCCTGTGATAGCTTAAATGTGGCCAAAGATTCTTAGCAGCCCCTCCCATTAGGAGGAGTCCTTGAGCCTAGGCTGGCCTTCACCTTCAGACTTGATTTGGCCAATAGAGAATGGTAGAAATAACATCATATGACTTTTAAGCCCAGGCCACAAGGCTCTGTAGCTTCCCATCTCATCCTCTTGGAACCCAGCTGCCATGTAAAAAAGCTCAGTCTAGCCTCCAAGAGAGAAAAGCCCAGCTGTCCCAGCCTAGCCCAACACGCTCACCACCAATCAGTTGAATGCAGCCACGTGAGTGAGTCCAGGAAAGAACAAGAGAAAAGCTGCCCAATCAG